GTTTTTGGTCTTACACCAAAGGAAAGTCTCTAGCACTGTGGTTTTTGAACAGGTTGTTGTAAGTGGGGTGTGTTTACAGTATTTTAAAGTATTTTTGTTATAAAGTACCTAACCTAAAAATGAGAGAAAATGAACAAACTTCTGTTAAGTCACACAACACAGACTTTTTGCCTTAATTAGATGTGGTCCAAATGTGCTAACAACATGAGATATTTTTGAATGTGGTTACACATTGCATTGTTCAAGTGCTACATGCGACACTCCAGTTTCTTCATCAGACTGTAGGCCTGTGCTGGTTAGCAGGATGTCGTCTGTTTTACTTTAAACCTTGTTTGTTTAAAGCTTCCTGTCAGAGGAAGACGGACGGTGCTGACTATTGGGCCTCGTGGCATTGTAAAATCTTAGACAGTTATGGAAGTTGTAGCTATCTTGATGCATGCTCAGTCATCCAGGTGAGGAAATCTGAAAAAGTTGAGTCTGTTCATCCAGCCGTAGCGTTTTCAGTCCAGGTGACTCATCCAGGTGATCTGAAGAAGTCTTCAGAAGAAGAGTGATGAAACGTTTTCCCTGAAAATGCTACGCCCAGATGAACACAATCAACTTTTTATGATCTTTTTATGGTTGTAGGTAGTTCTCCTGTAACCCACTTATGTTAAGAAAACTGTGTTTGTACAATGGTTCCCTGTTAATTTCCTGTCAGTAAATAAATAATAGCCTCTGTGTTTCAGAGGAATGGCTGCCAAAGCTGAGTCTCATGGTGACATTTCCTAGTAAAAGACTTTGAAATTCAGTGTAAGGCTATTGATATTGAAAGGTAGCATTTGGATGTGAGCATTTATTTAAGAAATGCCTGACCATATAACATCCCAGTTACTGCAGTTGTACTGGTAAGAGCTGTGCTGGTTATTATCAGCAGGAGCTGAATTGTTATGAAAAAGTGTGACACTACAATGCAGCACCAATGGAGAACTTGTGCTGTCTCCATCAGCGTGACCATACAAAGTCATGAATAGCCACAGTTTACACATGTTCTTGTAAACATTAGGCTCGCAGGTCTGTCCCGTCTTCCCGTGTGGTGATTCAGAGCAGGTTTTAAATGGGAACATAACTGTCACAGTTGTGTTATCACTTGTATTTGTTGGCAGGTTTATTTTTAAAAATTAATTATGACATTTTTAATCAGTACTTACCAACAGTGTGCGGCAAGGAAGCAGCATGGCATGTAGAGGACCAACTCCTTTAACTCAAATATGGTACAGACTAATCTGTGTAGTCACAATGTGATTTCAGAACTTTCTGCTAATACACTGAACGTTATTGTGCAAGAGTAATATGAATACTGAATAAACCACTTTTACCACTTTTTCTAAGATCATACAGATAATCTGATAAGTAAATGGGGGAAATATGCTGGAGATTCCCTGATGATGAGTGTAATTGCA